ACAGTGCGTCAGAAGCATCTGGAAGGCCTTTAAAAGCTAGCGATGGGGGCCTCCCCTGATTCTTAGTGTGTTGTGAAAGCTCCCCCGGCCAGGCTGGAGCCCCGCTGCTCTCCGCGGAGGCCCCGCCGTGGGTCTCAAAAGAGACATGGTCCTGAGGAGAGTCACTGCTGAATCGCCGGGAGGGCCTTCCTTTCCACAAGGAAGCAGGATGACGGACTTGGGCAGATGTGCGGTGCCATTGAACGTCTTAAAATTTTTGAAAGCCTTTACACCAAAGGTGTGAGCCCTTGGCCGTGCCCTGGGATCACCCAGAAAGCAGGGAAAGGTCCCACTGTGCATGTGGGCTGCAGCCCAGAGCAGCTAAGTCTGATTCTGTGTGGAGCCAGGTCTCAGGATTTGTCAAGGCTCCCCGGGGGCCAGGGAGCAGCACCCCACCCCCCAGGTCTGATTCATTATGCTCCGGTGCATTTGAGCTTGTCCCCCTGGGGCTGGAGGGTTGCCGGAGGAGAGGCAACTCCACGTGCAGTGACTTCCTGCGCCGGCTCTCAGGCACCCTCCCCGGGTCGTCCTGACCCTCAGCAGCTGGTGCTCCACCAGAACCTTCTTTGGGGCAGACTCTGCACTAGGCCTTAAGTGGGACATGGGGCTCAGGCCCTGCCCTAGAAGAATTTGTCAGCAAGCAAGAGAAGATTTGCACATCAAAACACCTGCTTCAGGGAGGCAGGAACCAGTGCTTCCCAGGAAGCATCCAAAGGAGGTGTGGTGCCCTAGAATTCTCAAAAAAAATCTAAAGTGCCATTAACTTCTAATTTGCCGTCCAGTTTCTCCCAGCTTGGAGAAGTCCAGGAAAGTGTCTCATTCACGGTCAATGGGATGGTGACAGCTTATACTTAGATGAGTTACGAAGCCCAGAGGCACCGCTTTCCAGGGCCAGAGACCTTGGCATCAGGAAGATGGGTTCATGCAGGCTCAGAGGTGAGGGGACAATAGTGGTTCTCCAGCCGCATGAGCTGGTTACTCAGGGCCCAGAGAACGGAAGCGCCGTGCCCAGGTTACGCAGTGAGGCCAGGGCAGCAGGGGATGGAGGCTGGGCTCTGACTCCAAGCAGGGTGACCCTTCTCTTCTCCCATCTGAGGGCTAGAGGACCTTCAGACTAGCGAGACTGGGTCTTCGGATTTGACCTCCATTAAATAAGGCATGGCACCTGTGTGTACTTGGAGTTAAGCCTTAGCATCATTCTTTTGTTCCCAGGTACCCTATCTGTGCATTCAGGGGGCTCGAACGGGAGGGGCAGGCCTCATTCCTAACACCCAGGCTCCTGGGCGGGCAATCTATGCCCCCAGACTCTGAGTTTCTGTCAGCAAAACATCTGGTTCTTTGGTGCCTGATTTACTGCTGAGGAAGGAGAAGTGTTAGAGCAGGAAGGTCCCGCCAGCCCCCTTGGCCCAGTCACTGTAAGAGCTGAATGGAACGCATATGCTAGTCTTGAGCTAGGGAACTTTAGCTCTGCTAGAATGACATTAGGAGGCTGGGACAGTGTGAAGGATGACAGGCCACTGTTATGGGTAAAGCATTCCAGCCTCCCCCGTGTGCTTATGACTGTCTGGCCCCATGGCCCATCATGGGGAGAGTGGAACAGCCCTCTGTGCAGGGGAGTCCTGTCTTAAAGGTGGGGCTGATGGCTGGACAGGCCTCCCCAAAATGACACCTGACATTCATTGAAGCTTACCCCCTGGCAGGAGTTCATCTGAGCATTTTGTGTATATTAATCTTGCACTCATATCATCACCTCCTTTACAGATGGGGACATGAAGGCACAGAAAGGTTAAGCAACTGACCCAAAGTCACACAGCTAGTAAATGGCTGAGCCAGGATTTGAACCCAAGATTCGTGCTCACCTGCCTCACAGGAGGCCTGGTTGCTCCCTTCCCATTGGCCAGGCAGGCTATACTAAGCAGGAAGCCTCTGCCCACATTCCCAGCAGCAGAGAGGAGATGGTCATCTATTCTGGGCAGTGAGCAGGGTGCTGGGGCAGCCACGGGCACTCCGGGGCCAGGGGTTCTGCTGCCTGAGCCCTGTCAGCCCTTCTGCCTAATTCCCCCAAGGTCTTCTCCTGGGTACCCCTGGCCGGAACAGGGCTCTCCTCAGTAGCCCAGACCGCCTCTCCCTTCAGAAGTAAAATGAGAGGTTTCCCAGACAGCTAGGCCACCATAGATGACCCCTGGCTTCTCAGGGCCTGGGGAGAAAAGCTGAAAACAGGACCATGAGGCAAGTCTGGAAGGCTTCTCCTCCCTGCACCCGCAGCTCTTCCAGGTCCGGGTCTAGTCCAGGGGGCTCATCTCTACCACAGTCCCTGGGCTGGGGCCTCCTGGTCCTCAGGTGCCTCCCACTGTCCTAGAGACAGGCTGTTCTCCATCAGGACAGCTTGAGGCCCCGGGCCATGATGCTGCTTTGGCTTCTGATAGCCCCTTGTGTCACCCCAACACATGCACACGTGTGCACACACACACACGCACCCCACCGTTCTTGGATCTGGGTCTGCCCATCCCCAGCAAGCCCAGCCACCAAGGAGAGTCCGTGGGGCCCCCCTGATAATAGCATTGGGCTTATCCACTAGGTCATCTGAAGAATACGTGTGGGGTGACCAGTGCAGCAGAGCTGCCTCGGAGGACGGGAGGGGGAATGGAAGGGAGCTGGGGAAGTGATCCGTGACAGAGTCCCACAGAGGCTGGGCTGGGGCCCTCGCCCTGGCACGTCTCAGATGCAGTCACTGCGAGGGCTGCAGGCTCCGCTCTCCGGTGTCTCTGGTGTGGAGACCGCGCTCTCCTCCCTGGCACTCTTCTCACACCTGTCAGTCTGCTCAGCCCTGTTTGATGGTTGAGATGAAATTCTAGCCCTTAGCGGTGTCTGATGCTCAGTCTCCAGCAGAAACCTTTATCTGAGATTAAGGATAATGGATTTCCTTTCTTGGATAAGTTTTTTTTTCTTCCTCTTTCCTCTCAGACTCTTTTTTTTTTTTTTTTTTTTTTTTTTTTTCTGGTCAAAAATGCGCTTGACTCCAGAAAATAGCCCTTTTGTTAAATGTCTTTTTTATTGACTAAACTTGCCTCCCTCTGGTTCTGCCCCCCACTCCCTTCCCCTCCGTGGACATCTTTTCAGGCTTCCAAGGAAACCGGCGAGGAGTGCAAAAGAATAAGTTGACCTTCCTTCTCTCCCAGCCCACTTCCTTCTCCTTTCGGGGTCCCCTGAGCTCTGCTGCCTGTGCCTGCAGCGGGGGAGGGGGGTGCCTAGTGTGCAGAGGTTGGGACAGGGAGAAATAACTCCAATTCTTCCTTATTTTCCTTCAGCACTTTCTTCTATCACCCACATTTCCAGAAACCTAGACCCTGCTTGGAAGAAAGGGGGAAAGGACTTGGTGGGGGAATGCCTTCGTGGGTCTCAGGTGGCAGGGGGCCCTGGTAGCCCCCGTGGGGGAGGGAGTGGCCTCCTGGCACGTGTGGGGTCTTCATGGGAGCTGGGAGACCGATTCCAGCAGCCAGGGATGACCTTGTACCCTTATTTCACCTGGATCTTTCTTTTTCCCCCTTCAACAGCCCTATTACCATATTTAAATGCAAGTATGTCTTTTTTCATTGACATTTTAAGTAGCTTAGCCTGACCTTTTTAGAGTAGCTCATTCCCTTTTGAACTTTTTTTCCTCCCCAGTAGTTCTGTGTAGCTAGGATAATAGTCTTAGAGTTTAGTGGGCTTCTATTTCTAGTTTCTGCTGTGTTTGGGGGATGGCTCTCTATCTTTTTTTCCCTACTCCCACCCCGCTCCCTGCCCCCCATGGTGCATGTACTCCCCCACTGTGTCCTGTAGCAGGTCCGTATTTGGAAGGCCCAAAGGCTGAAGCCAAGTGAGCAGCTGTCTGGTTGCCCGTGGTTTGCTGCTGGCTTCTGGCCCATCGTTTAAAACCACAGCCTTTGGAAGTGGGGCTTGAAATCAGGCCTCGAAAAGTCTGCCTGGATGGCAGATGGCGATTGTTCCGTGTGTGCGTGTGTCTGTGTGCGTCCCCACGTGTGACTGTGCATACGTGATGCTAGTGGCCAAGAGAAGCCCAGGGGAGAGGACTCGCCCACCTCTTCCTTCCCCTGGACATTCTGTAGCCACGCTGGGTCACTTTTTCCCTTCCAACCTTCAGTCCCATTTCTGGGACAGCCTTGCTGCTCCAGGTGTTCTTAGCTAGGCAGACACTTGATGGAGACCCCTAGGACACCCTTCACTGCTAACTTGGTCAGGATGTGGAGCTCAGACAAGAGGCAGATTGAAATCCCCATCATGTGCCTCAGGAGGTTAAAATGGAGAGACAAAGCCACAGGGCTCACCTCACATTGGTCCCTGTGGCTACCCACTCCCTCCCCCAGCTGCCTTCCCGTGTACTCAGGCAGTCAGTGGGGCCTCCCAGCACACCTCACCCTCCGGCATGGGGCTGAGACGATGCTAGTACAGGCTTTCCAGAGTCCGGACCAGCAGAGCCTCAGGAGAGCAGCTGGAGTTCAGCCACCTCCTGGCCCAGGTGCCTGTGCTGCCCAGAGGCTCAGGGCCACCTGGTTGGGGCCGGGGGCGGGGGGGGGGGCGGTTCCTGGGCCATACTTGGCGCTGCCATGGACACACCCTGGGGGACCCCCTCAGTCATGGCAAGGACAGCAGGGACCCTGCCCTGCTCCCAAGAGAGGATCCTCCTCATCCTCTTAGATTATTTCGGTGTGCCTTCTAGAAGTAGTTTCTGTGGTGACTTTTGTGTAGGAATCAAACACACCTAAAGGGGCTATGCCTTCCAGAAGCATGAGAGCTGCTGACCTGGGTCCCTCCTAAAGGCTGCCCCGAGGAGATCCCTTCTGGCTCCTAGCCTTTGGAGGAGGGGGTGGTGCGAGGCCTGTGAGCCTGGGCCGTGCCGGGGGGGGGGGGGGGGCCCTTCCAGGGTCCGACCCTCACTCCAGCTCCTCTCTCCCCGCCAGGCTTCCCAGCAGCGGCTTACGGACCAGTGGCGGCAGCGGCGGTGGCGGCTGCAAGAGGATCAGGTAGGGAGGTGTGCGGGGCAGGCGCTCCCAGGCATGCCCCAGTGTGCGGGGGAAGGTAAAGGCCCTGTTGGATCTGTGTGGCTGCGTCTGTCCACTCCTGTCACCACAGCCCAGAGGGTGGGGACAGGGGGGCACGGGCGAGGCCCTGCCACCCCGGGGCAGCTCCCAGTGCGGATCAGTCGCAGGACTGCAAACCAAAGGTAGAGTCTTACTCTCTCCTCGAAAACAGAGCAGTGACCTTGGTTTTGACTTTGGACGACCCCCTCACCCAACAGCCGGCTTCAGGCACCCGCAGCATTTCCCTCGTTGGCTTTCACTGCTTCATGAGGCTCCCTTCCTTGGGCCTCTGACCTAGCCAGAGAAGATCCGGGTTGTGCAAGGGAGGCTCCTGGCCTCCAGGGCCCTGCTGCACCTGGCAGGTGGCCTTGCTGATTCAGCTCAGACCCTGGTGCCCGGAGGCCAGAAGTAGGGCCAGTCCCGACCTCTGTGAAAGGGAGTGATTTCTTGAAGCCCTTGTTGCCTCCCAGGCTCTCCTCAGAGCAGAGACTGGAGAGGTCCTGGACTCCACCTGCCAAGGGAACTGGGGTTTTTCCTCTCCCACAAAACTGCCCTGGTCCTTTTGGTCTCTAAACCCAGCCTCTTAGGAGGTCTAGCGCCCCTCAAGTGAGGTGGGAGCGTTTTCCCAGCAGCCCTGTGGGTCTGGCTGGAGCTCGTATGTCCACAACGCGGGCCCCAGAGCAGCCTCTGTCCCTCCCCCCCCAGATGCTCCCCGCCTTGGCTAAGCAAGCTGGGCTGCCGTTGTGTGCTGGGCTCCCCGGGAGGCCGCCTGGAATCTGCGCCCCAGCCGCGGAGGGGCCCCTGCTCCTCCAAGACTCTCCCCACCATGTCCCTGGGACAGGGCAGCAGAGCACCCCAGGGAGCAGTTAGGGACAGGGCTCTGAGGAGGGTGGGGGAAGGGAGGCACTGGTGGGGTACCAGGAAATGGGGCATTCAAAGCCCGGAGGGCAAATGCCAAAACCCAAACCCTCAGTGGTAAGAGACTGGCACAGTGAGGCCCTTTAGAAACATCAGTAAAAATCCGTTCCATGCAAACTGGCGCTGCCTTGAGCTACAAAGGAGCCACTCCCTGGAATCACCCACTGGGGATTTGTTTGGAGGGGCCAGGAGCTCGCTGGGGGCTGCTGAAGGCCAATTAGCCAGAGAGCTGGGCACCCGCTCAGCCTCCAGCAGCCCCCACCTGCCCTCTGGCCAGTGTCCCCTGGTGCCCCTGCCCTGGGGGCAGGCGCGCCGCTGCCTGGTGTCTCCCTGTTCTGTTTGGTTTTTTTAACTTGAGTGCTTTTTGGTATCGTTACAAACAAGCCTCTGTCCTACCTGTGCCTGGTGGGGGGGACGACAAAAAGAAAACTCGAGATTTTTGAGTGTTGGTTGTTTTCTCCGTTCAGTTTCTTTCTTATTATAACTTGGATTATGAAACTAAACTTTAACCCGAAATTAACCCTGCCTCTCTCCCCACCCCCATTCTCCTTGACTTCATGGCAAGTTTAAAGGGCAGCATGGGGTTCTTCGCAAGTCTGAGAGCGGTCTCCCTGTGGCCTGTGCCCCCCTCCGCCACCCCCACCCTCTCACGGACCCTCCAGAGCCAGGCGGGAGTCCCACCCATCCCTCCCCAATTCCTAACCCCAAACTCCAGAGCCATCTCCAACCACACTTTTTTTTCCAGGATCAGTGGTGTTTTATTTGTAGCCATTTCCATCCGGAGCCAAGTCTCCCAGGGGCCATTCGAGGTCAGCCATGCTCATCGCTGCACTGTTAGTGAATTCTATTCAGGAGCGTGCTCCCAGACCACCTGCCCCACACCAGACTAGGTTAGTGCAAGGAGTAAATCCTCAACTCCGAGGTGCCTGGCCCCAAGGGTGCAGGCTTGGCCAGGAGGCCACAGGCACCCGGCAGTACTGCCTGGGGGTCAGGGGCTTGGGGTGAGCCGCAGGGCGACAAATAGACTATGCCTGCCAAGGTCAGAACATCGCGTGGGCTGGAAGACACCTGCCTCTGTATAGACAGGGTAGCTCAGCCCCTCACCCCCATCCCAGGTTTTGGACCTGGAGCAGGGTTACAAGGTTGGGGAAAGAAGATCTCTGCCTGTCTTTCTTTTAGCGCATTTTGGCCTGTAAGGACTGTCCCCTCCCTCCCTCTAGAACATAATCTGGACTCCGAGCCTGGTGAGACGGCCAGTTATTTACCTGTTGTGGTGGCCCCTCCGTGGCATTTTGGCAAACGCGTGAGAGGGACGGCACAGACTGGTTTGCGTTTGTGCATCAGCCCGGGCCAGCAGGTGATCGCTGAAGGCTGACTGCCCGGTTCTCCCTTCCCCTGCTCCTGCAACCCTGCGCACCCTCCTCCCGTGCCAGCTCCTTCCCGGGGGACAGGGGTGTTCCTTCCGCCCCCCAAGCAGCCAGCTTCGGCTGTTGGAGGGTATCACAAGCCCAGGCACTTCGTCTTATAGGAAGAAGCTGGTACAGGGAGTCTGTGGAGTACCGACCTTGAGTTTGGTACTCCCCCGAACCTAGCAGGGGACTCCAAACCGCAGGAAGCGTGGCCTCCACTCCCCAGGGGCTGCCTGTCAGGCTTGGTCTAGGGATCAGGCATCCTGTGAAAGGAGGGCCTTTCGTTTTTGTCCAGCTCCACAGTTTTGTTTTGTTTTGTTTTGTTTTTCTGCTTCCATATTTTGATGTACCAGGGGAGCTTCCTGAGGTAGAAGCACCTGCTGAGGGCCGTGGTGGGGGTGGGGAGCAACTCGGATTTCGCTCAGGTTGGCAACTCGTATCTGTCAGGGCTATGGTGTCAGGGTAGGAGGTCCAGGGGGGCCTTGAGCTCTGCACCCACCTCAGCCGACTCCTCGAGGCCAGCCTGCCTGCCTTTTCCTAATTCACGCAGGACCTGAGGTGAGCAGGGCTCAGGAGACCCCCCGCCAGGTGAGGTCCCTGCCGACTCCTAGATGACTTCACTATCAGTGGTCACTTTTCTTTTACCTTCACCGGTAGTCTGAAACGTCATCTTTTCTTGTGCTCAGTCGAGAGTTTGTTTGTTTATTTTGATCGTACTCATTCAGTTCTGATGGCCTCATCCCGTCCTACCCAAACCTAAGTCCAGTTCAGTCATCGACCCCCCGACACACACACACACACACACACACACACACACACACACACACACACAGGTGAGGGGAGTGGTTTGGATGCTCAGGCTGTTTTATTTCCGGGTGACATCACGGGGTGGGTCTGTGTATCAGTCGAAGAGCTTCTGAGCCCCCTGCCCGCCCCCCCAGCCCGTCTCCGGCCCCAGCCAGGACCCCTTACTGTACTTTATACTTGCCAGCTTTATTCCAGTCTAGTAACATGAGCTCCTGACGGTGGTGGTGAGTGCGAGAGTCATGTTTCTGTTGTCTTTTCTCTTGCTTGGTTGGGGCTGCGGTGAGAGAGTGTCTCTGAGGCATACTTTCCCGCCTCTCTTACACTAGGATCTGCACACCTCCTCTCAAACACTCTTCTGAGCACGCTCAGCGGGAAGGTTTGTCCACACCTATTAATCCTCTCTCAGTGTCCAGCTTCCTGTTAGTACCAGCTGGTTTGCATGTTTTTGCTTGTTCAGATGAAAACAGTTCAAGAAACAAACTCATATCCAACTCTCGAGAAATGTCTTTTTTTTGTACACTTTCGTTTTTGATTTTTTTTTTTATTAGTCACGACTCCAAAACACCTGTTGTCCAGTAAAACATTTCACACCTCCCCTGCCTGTTCTTAGAGTGTATGTCTCTGTGGGACTGAACTAAATGCATGCACTGTAGTAGATGTCCTGGTATTAGCCGTAGCCCTAGAACATGCATTGTTGAGTTGATATTACAGGGTCTCTGACAGCCCGGCCCAGCACAGCTGCCGGCAGGACAGCGCGGGGGACCAGGAAGACAGGGGGCTCCATATTTTCAATGTTGCCAAAGGGCTTGGATCCATGTTCTCGCCATCAGCCACCACCACCTCCCCTCACGCTCCCTGCTCCCCCAGTCCAGCACTGGGCCACCACCCCCAGCTCTAGCCTTCCTCACTGAGCTCGCTGGCGACCGTGTCTGTGAACAGAACTGGGATCGGAAGGAGTCTGACCGTTCATCCTTGTTCTCATCTTCCTCGTAGGGTTCTTGACCAGAGCAGGTCTTCTCTTCTTTGTCAAGGCCCACCGGCAAGGCTCGTCCAGGCCCTCAATGCCTTGGGTCCTTTGCCAGCTCACGTCCAGCCTGTTGAGGGGAACAGGTCCATGTGGCGGTCCTGTCTGCATGGTCTGGTCCCCAAGGCGGAGAGGAAGTGAGACGTGGTAGGGAATGGGATTCTGATCTTACAATCCTGGGTCTGCAGACAGGGAATGCGTTGGGTCCTGGCGAAGGTTAGCATCTGTTCTTATGGTTGGTGAAGATGAAGGAGAAGCCTTTATGTGTGCCCTCCAAGGAACGGGTGGGGGTGGGAGGGGGGCAAGTGGCGTCAGAGTGACAGCCTTTCTAGTGTGGAGGTTATCAGCACAGCTCCGTGGGGGGGGGGGGGGGGAACGAGAGGGAAGAGGAACCCGTGACATTCAGAGAGAAGGCTGCAGTTTCCCTCCACCTCGCCAGGAAGATTCTCCAGTCCAGCAGCTCTGCCCTCGGCTCAGGGGCATGGGCAGTCCGTGTCCCTGGACACACCGTCTCCCCTGCATTTGTGGGGACAAGCCATACCAGAGTACCAGAGGTCTCTCCGAGCTTTTGGACATGGCCCCAATCTTCACAAATTGGTGGGCTGTGAAATAGTAGTTGCTGCCTGGGACCTGCTCTTCAGTCAGGCTAATTGGTGGCTCTGACCTAAAGCCACAGGAGGACACCAGGAGGACACGAGCCTTCAGGGGATAAGTTATCTGTTGTGGGAGACTGAAGCCCAGGACGTCACAGCGTCCGTGGCGTTCCCAGAAGAGTGTGAGGTGAC